CGGGCACCAGCTTCATACACACCCAGCATGAGCACAAAGCAAAACGCAGGCTGAGTGACCTGACACGCACACACAGAGGCGCACGCCTGGACCCGCCCCGAGAGCCCGCACTGGCCAGACCCCCCGCGTGCTCACCCTCGCCTGCAGCAGAGAGGCACACAGCTGTCTCCACACGGGCTTCCCTGGTGGCGCTGGGGCTGAGGCTCGGCACTGTGAGGCTGTCCACTGCAGCTGAGTTTGCCCCCCCCAGGGAGGGACCCCCAGGGCGTAGCGGAGCCCTCCCGTCTCCCCGCTGCTCCCCTCAGCGCTGTATTCCAGCAGATCTGCCTGTTCTGCTCCCTGCTCTGTCTCTGGTGAATCCTCTCACCTCCCAGCATCTCTGGCCTGTACCCCAGTTTTTTATGCATACATAAATATTAAAAAAAAAGATCTTTCGACACAAAGGAAAACTAAATGAAGATTCACAAATAGGGGCTCACTTACGAATAGACCCAATAAAACCCAGACAACCACGTATATTTGCACTCACACACACACTCACAAACACCATCACCAACACCACACACATCGTCACACAAACGTGCCATGCTGGATAAATGTGCACACACTCACAGTGCGTGCAGACATGGACATTCTCACACAGCTGTACCCACTTGCGCAGCTGACACGCCCGTCCCACTGGGCTACCCGCACCCTGTACTCACATGGAGTCACCACAAACATCACATGTCTAAGGCACACGGATGCACAAAAATACATTCCGAAACTGCCCCTCCATACACACCCATGGACACACAACTACACTCAAACACCCCTGTACACGCAACTACACCTGACAGACACACACCTACACCCACACACTCACAGACACACAGCTGCACACCTACATGCATGCTCATATACAGATGCACTTGGACACAAACACAGCCACATCCACACACAGCGCCCCCCCCCAAATTCTACAAATTCTCCCAATGCACACACAGAAATTTGCAAATTTACCCAAAGACAGCCACACAAGCCAGCGGAGACACAAGCTCCGGAAAGGCCCCGGCGCCCGCTTCTCACATGTCTTCAGTGGCACCAGCCACACAAAGCACAAGCCCCTCTGGGTGTCGCAGACCCGCAGGCTCTGGCCCCAGCCTGTGTCCTCAGGATGCAGACCGCGGGGTTAGGCAGGGCCGGGTACACACACCACCACCCCGCGAGCCGTGGCGCGCCACACCCAAGCGCACGCGGGCACACCGCACAGACACAAGCAGAGGCGCGCTCGGCGCGGCACACAGGCAGGCGCGGGCGGGCGCACGCGCGCGGCCAGGACACCCGCACTGTGCACACTCACACCGGCGGGGCCCTCAGCCCTAGCAGAGGGTCCTTCGTGGTCCCCGGCGCGCGCTCCCACGCACACGCGTGCACACACGCACGCGTGCACACTCGCAC